TTTCATCTCAGCACATGTGGACCTACTTCATTCATTTTTATTTGCTCTACAGAATTCCACAAGATGAACATAATTTATTTAACTGTTCTCTAACATACATTAAGGTTTATCGTTTTTCACCATAGCAAATAATGCTGCTCTAATAAACAGGCTTATACATATAAATAAGTATTTATAGAGTTTATTAAAATACGGGGAAATCCTTATGTCATTAATGGTAATCAAGCTCTATACACAGTACAATTTCAACTACATAATAATATATATAAGAAGGGGGCAGAAAAATAGTAACAGTTTTGTTTCTGGCTACTGAGATTATAGATTTCTTCTCTTAGTTTCTATATTTTTCTGTGTTTTCCAAATTTTCTCTAATGAACAAGTATTACTTTATAATTGGAGAAGGATAAAATTAATTTTTAAATAACAAGAATAACTATTATTCTATTATTTACATGGTGGGAGAGGATATAGAAGAAGGTTATTAAAAGAAATGCAGCAAATAGTTTATCTAGTAAGCAACTGTCAGAATTGGACAACTAATGAAGTTACCAAACTAGCAACAACACTAAAACTACTCAACTAGCCATCATGACTGGAAGATCACCAGCTCCCTAGTGTGGAAGAATGGTGATTACAACCAAAAAAGTGGCACATGGAGTGGACACACTAAATTAACTAGCAAATCCAAAAGAACTGACAACATATATCCAACCCCAAATCTCATACATGAATGTTCACAACAGCAATTATTCATGGTAGCCAAAAGATGGAAACAACCCAAGTATCCATCAACTGATGAATGTATAAACAAAATTTTGTATATCCATGCAATGGAATATTATTAAGCCATAAAAAGAATAAACATCATGCCAAATTAAAGAAGCTCATGAAAGGCTAACAGTAAATGATTCCATGTACATGAAATGCCCAGAACACCGCAATCTATAGAGACAGAAAGTAAATTAATGGTTGCCTATGGCTGGTGGGGTTGGGAAGAGATGGGGATTGACTGCCAATGACTAAGGGGTTCTTTTTAGGATGATAAAAATATTCTGAAATTAAATAGTGATGCTGATCACATGACTTTGTGAAAATTCTAAAAGCCACTGAATTGTATACTTGAAAGGGATGAATTTTATGGCATGTAAAGTATATCTCAATAAAGCTGTTATAAAAATAGCTAGTAACAACTAATGTAGTTTGTTGCTATGTTAAATTACTTGATAAAAAATAAATTTAGATTGTAAATAGTTTGCCACATGCAAAAGGCTATGGAAAATTATTTTCAGTGAACAATTAGCCAGGTGTAAACTTTCTTTCCTTCATGTCCTGGTGACATCAAAGGAGAAATAATTAAACAATATATAAATAATTTCATTATTGAAATTAATAAAAATTTTAAAAGAATAAAAGAAAAACTTAACCAAGACAATATAATCTAATTGAACAAAAGTGTATTATTTTTGGAGAAGAGACAGGACAGATTAAAAATTAAGATGGGTGAAATTTTGAGTCAAGAAAATATTTAATTACAGATGCTCGTGGCTGAGGTACATACAACTTGTGCAACTTTGACTTCATACAAACTGCTACCATATAAGACATGTAATCAAATTTGGCGGCGTGGGAAACTTCGCATGGACATGCAAAGTAAAATACAAGGCAGGTTGGTGAATGCCAAGAATTAAAAACTTAACGTGTCCTGTGGCCACCAGAAGCTGAAGGCCTCAGTTACCGAACAGGTTCTCACTCCCTCAGTGTTAATCCAGGGTTATCTGTGCGAACCCCCTTCTCACTTCCATTCACTGACTTCTGATGATAACTAGTAAGGGATTGAGCAATAGCCAGGATATAGAATCCCTAAGCACAGGAACACTGAACTACAGCAAACATCCAAAGCATAGAAGAAATCTGGTCAAATCCCATTCTTCCTTGGGCTTGACTGGTCTACTTCCACAATGAAAATATTTAGAATGAAGGCACTGGACCCCCCAGAAAAGAACCAGTGAAAAGTTCTGCCACATTCATGTCTACAAAGTCATAACAAAGGTGCTATTTTGAAATGAAAGCCAATAATAAACATAAAAACAGAACAAAGCTTTAAAAAAGTATGCTGCTAAGATTAATGATTCAGTAACAGGATAGAAAATCAGTTCGAAGACAGAGAACCATGTGGTCAGAGGAGGGCAGCCCAGCAGTTTTAAAACTCATGAAAATGCTATTCAGAACAGGGAAAGCAAGTGGGGAGGCTGCTGGTTTGATAATAAAAGCAGCAGGTATGCATCTCAAAGAATGGTAAAAATAACAGAAAAATGTGGTTATATAACAAGCACAATAAATCTTTAATTTTGAAGAAATTGGGTTTTTTAAGAAAAAAAAAAAAGTCAAACAGAACATTTATTTCAAAGGAAGAAAGTGTCAAAGTTTCCAGCTGCAAAAGTTTAACTGAGCCTCTTGCTTGAGGATCACATGGTAGAAAATTATACCTTGGTATCTTGAGTTGCTTATCACTCAGAAAGCCTGTGGATATTTAAGACATTTTTAACCCACAGAAAATCCTGATTGTACAAAACTATGGGAAAAAGCTGTACGCCTCAAGGGATCATCTCTTCTATGTCCAAAACTATGAGAAAAAGCTGTACACCTCAAGGGATCATCTCTTCTATGTCCAAAACTATGGGAAAAAGCTGTACACCTCAAGGGATCATCTCTTCTATGTCCAAAACTATGGGAAAAAGCTGTACACCTCAAGAGATCATCTCTTCTAGAATTATTTCTACAAGTTTCAATTTCACTAGAATCTCCTAGAGTCAATATACTGATATTGAGAAGAATGAATTAAATAATTCAGGCTCAGTGGGCATGTTTCAGATCTTGATATTACCTATGACATAGTCATAGTTCCTGCTAGCATTTTACAGGACGAAAGCCACATTCAAATCTGGTGGAACAGTGCTGAACGCTCAGTGGTCCTTAACTAGCCCTGGTTTAGGTAGCTCTCACTGATGCTGTTTATTATATCGGAGAGGGTTGTTGGCAAGATTAAATGAGAGGGTGTATGCAAAGCACCTGTAGCATCATGCCGGGCACAAAAATACAGGTTCACTTCTCCTGGAAGAACTCCAACTAAAGAACTGTGTCTCCATCATAACATTTTACATTTGTTTAGCAATCTGTGATTTACAAAGTTCATCCATCATCCAAATGTAGGGCAGGAGGGAGACAAGTCAAAATGTGTTTTCAATTATCTTTGAATTCAAAGGGTTTTGTTTCCCAGCTCTTTTCCCTGGCCCAGCATTTATCTGTAAGAAGGTAACCAGGCTTGAAAATCAGTTCAACTTATCTTTGAAATAAAGACCTTAAAAATTCTCTGTAGGCAAGAGCTTTCAAACTTCTTTTGGAAAGGAGAGGGCCCCCTCACTCTCCAAATTCGATCTTGTTAGATGTCTTGTTAATCACACTGTTAAAAGCAAAGCTGGCCTGGGTGAAGCAGGATCTGGAACTGCCCACCAGACCTCCCCTCATTGAGCAGTCCCTCTGCAGTACTCAGAAGCTCTGTGGACACACATTTTAAGACATACTCTCATTCTATAAATGTGGACACCAAGGGACAGAGAGGTCCAGAACTTTGCCCAAGGTTCTGGAATCTGGTAAAGCCAAGTCTAGGATCCAAGACTCTTTCTACCTCATCCTATTTGCCTCCTCAGAGTCAAGACTTCTCATACATGACTATGCATCATCCATAAAATACTGCATCTGTATAAATCTAAGATAGGGAGCTGGAATTGTAAATAATTTAACTGCTGCCATTGGTCAAATCAAAGAATACTAGTGATCAGCCTTCCTGCAAAGGGGTAAAAAGAGCATTCTCTGGCCACCAACAGAATTACAACCCACCCGTTAAAGGAATTTAGTTTTTAAAACAAAGATAATGGAAGTCAAAGAACCACCTTCTAGATTATTCTAGGGGTACAGGGTAAGTAGCTCTATTACTACCAGATTAATGAAGAATCTGGTAACATAGATTGTTCCTTGCTTACCCATGGACACTTTCCCCTTCTTTATTTTAAAAAAAATTTTTTTAATATCATGGGGTTTTTTTCAGCTTGCTTCTAACTTTATTTATCTAGTTATTTTATTTTGTTTGTTTTGGGGGGGTAATTAGGTTTATATATACATGTTATATATATTTTAATAGACGTACTGGGGATTGAACCCCAGACCTCAAGCATGCTAAGCAGGCACTCTACCACTGAGCTATACCCTCCCCCTCCCCTTCTTTCTTAATTACAGAACTCTGATTTTATGCAGGGTGTTCCCAGCTAAAAGACTAATTTTCCCAGCCTCCTCTGCAGATACTTATGATTCTACAAGTAAGTTCTAGCCAATGAGATTTAAGTAGTCATTGGGTAAGACTTCTAGAAAAGGCCCTTCAAAGGGGTATGCCATTTTTTTTTTCCTTTCTGTTATCCTTTCTGCAACCTGGAACCTGGATGTGATGGCTATAGTTCCAGAAGCTATCTTGCTATTTTGAGGCTGAAAGCTTTGTGCTAAATATGACAGACCAGAAAAAGAGAAAAAGCCTCAGTCCCTGATAACTCCATGAAGAAGCCATGAAAACACCTCTGAACTCCAGGCTTGTTTTTGTTTGTGTGTGTATGTGAAAGAATGAATCCTTATAAGATAAATTTACAGTAGTTAGGTCCCTTTTGCTAGCAACCAAATACAACCCCTAACTAACATAGACCATAGACTCAGTAGCAGAAGCTTCAGAAGCCATGCAGTTACTTAAGGAATGTGGTGGTTCTGAGAAAGGAAGAAACTCATCACATGCCCTCCCCAACTCCTTGCCAGATTTTCAAGAATAATGCCAGAGCAGGTTAATGGAAGGCAAGCAGAAAAAGAAGTCTGTGAAAGAAGAGGGTGTCCAGGTGACCAGGGTAGGGACCTGCCTCACTTCTTCCACTGCCTCTGACCAGGAGAGGGGCCCCGTTTTGTACCTCTTCCAGTTTGCAGAACTCCTGACGCAGGGCTAGCTTCAGATCAGAGCATTCTCTCCCGCATCTCAATGCTACCAGACACTCCTTGGTCAAATGTGGGACCTGATCAGAGGACACAGGTTCTTAGTGGAGAAGTCTGAGGGCACTCTGTGCTCCTGCCCTGCCTAAAAATGCAGCCGAAGCTTTGTCACTCCAGCTTAACAGGCCACCACCCACACCCAGGCTCCCCAGCTCCCTCTGAAGACCATGTCTGTGGTTTCCGGAAGCCACTTATCACAGCAGCCTGGTAAAACAAGATGCTTTAAAGGGGGCTCTCCAGTGCTCCTTACTTGAACAGCTACTTCCATGCTGTACAATCTTAGGTAGGGCACTTACCCTCTCTAAGTAAGCCTCAGTGTTCTCATCTGAAAAATGGATATGATAATAGTACCCACCTTAAAGGGCAGTGGTGAGGATTAAATGAGTTAATCTATATCAAGTAGTTAGAACAGTGCTTGGCATGTCATAACTGCTCAATAGATGTCAGCTACTAATAGCCTTTCATTATTTTTATTTTTACTTTTTTCAAAGAGAACTATCTGAAAATTTCTCCATCATTTTCTCTCTCAATATCAGCAGGTGACCCTTTTCTCTCTTCTTCACATTTCCTGGACAGTCGGCACTCTTGTTCCCCATAAAGGAAAATCCCTTTCTGTGCATTACTTTTTTCACACCCCAATTTTTTTTACCAGAAAAGTTATAAGTAGTCCCTTTAAAGTATCATCAGTTTTCAACTCTTTCAGTATTCCAATCTCAAGTTACAGTCATAACTATGCTATAACCATAACTCTTGAGACTGCTAGTTCAACTGGAAAAGTACCTATCAGCTAAGGCTTTAACCTTTCATATCAGAGGTCCTAGCCCTACTATAATTCCACACCAGTTATCATTCTAAGGCGCACGTGCGTATTAAAACAAATCCATTTCACCAATGATTAGGCTTTTTAAATGGACTGAAGCTTGGGAAAGACATACAAAGCAAAATAGCGTGTAAACCTTTTTTTAAAAATTGGCCCTACCTTATAGAATAGCTCCAATAGCATCTTCTGGCGAGCTCGCTCATAAGGGTCGTATGGATACAGCTTCTTCCCAGGATAAGCGTCATCCAGGTACTCACAAGCAATGACAGATTCGTAGATCAGCTGACATTTGCTGTTCTCCAGGACAGGAATTTGGCCAAAAGGGTGCTTTGTAAAGTACCATTCAGGCTTGTTTCTCAGGTTAATGTTGACAACTTCATGTCTGACAAAGCAAAGGGAAAACAAAACAGAACAAAACTGAGAGGCTTAGGCAGGCGGACGCTCATCTTGAAAGCAGAAGCAGTCAATGCATAAAATTAAAATTTGCAGTAAGTGCTTAAGTTTAGGTTTTGTACAAAGGAAAACAGGTAACAACATCAGTATCCTCATTCCTGCAGTAAGATGGGTTAAATGTTTCCTGTGCCTTCACCCATTTGTTCCTCGTGATCCCCCAATGAGATAAACTGCGGAGTCGTCATGAGGAGTAAACAAGGTAAGGCAAAGAGAGCATTAAAACCTCCTATGAGAAATAACACTCCTTGAGGTTGAGTCCCTGCCCAATATCACTCACTAAAAAGTGGCAGAGCCAAGATGGGAGCCCAGGCAGTCTGACTCAGAGCTCACAAGCTCAACCCGGGACACCACAGATTTTAGTACATTTTATAGTTTGAAAATACAAATCTGATCTCTGGAGACATATTTTTGATTGCCACAGCTGGGGGAGGGGGATTCTACTTCCATCTAATGGGTAGAGGCCAGGAGGCCAGGAATGCTGCTAGACACCCACAGGACAGCTCCTCCCCCTCACCAAACACACAAAGCAAAATGTCAGTGGTGCCAAGGGTGGAAAACCCTGCCCTAGAGAAGTACTTACATTGGTTCCTAAGCTGCCACTTCATCACTATGGGTAAAACATCAGTCTATTGCTATTTTTGTTTAAAAAAAAAGAGGTAACCTTGGGGCCAACTAGAATTGAGCAAGAGAAAAGAAACTGGAAATATAAGCCATATACACTCAACAAAGCAGAATTACATAATTTTATTTAAAACATCTCTGTATTAGTCTCTACATCTCTTTGCCATAAATCGGAGACTCTGAAGTCATCCCCTAATAATGGACTTTCTAAGCCCAGAGTCCAGAGACTGGAGTAACACTTTCTCAACACTTTAGCTTTGAAGCAGTTGCATCCAGCCATCCCCATTCCAGCAAAGTTGCTCTGCCTTCCAAATCCAAATCTCCTTTGCAGGAGCTAGTCTTGCAAAATTTCTTCTGGAAGGATATGTACCCATTTCTCAGGTATGTGGGAAATTTCAAAACATACTTTCACTGTTGATAGTAGTTCCTTCCATTTCATCGTTTGGAATTATTCGTTCATTCATTCAGAAAATAGTTTCAAGCACCTACTATGCTCCAGGCTCTCTTCTAGCCCTGAATAAAGAGACAAAGTCCCTACCCTCGAGAATTTACATTTGGAGGGGTGGGGAGGGTGGATGAAGGGCTAGGAGTTGTGGAAAGAAGACTGATAAACATTAAAAAAAAAAAAAAGTTAGATGTGGTAAGCTCAGTGAAGAATGAGAACAGAATTGAACTTGAAGATGCCTGTGGTGGGGTGGGGACTACACTCCACGGAGCAGTCAGAGAAGGCTTCAGTAAGCACTAGGGAAGGAACCAGTTTACCAAAGCCATCGTTCAGTTTACTCTGAGTTGTCCTAAAAGTTTCCTGCACAGACCCGCCTCTGCATTTCAAGACGGCCAGTTTTGCTAACCTGCCCTTTGCTTACTCTTTATTGTCTCTGCCTCAGAAGAAAGGTCCAGGGACCCTCTGAAATCTGAGCAGGGTGCCCCAGATTTTAAGCAATCCCGCACGCCTGTGGGGCGCCGGCCTTCGGCTTCTCACCTGATGCCTTTGGCCCGGAGGACCAGGCGCGTCCTGTGCGCGTAGGGGCAGAACCTCATGCTGTAGATGCGGATCAGGCCCTCTGGGACCGGCCCTGGGCGGACACTCCCTGCGGGCGGAGGCGGGTACGGGGAGGCGGATTAGCCCAGTGGAGAGAGGGGTTCACTGGCCTCCCCAGGACCCCAAGAGGGCCGCGCGCACTCCGCCTCCCGGACCCCAGAGAGGACACCTTTTTTTTCTGCACGTGGCTTTTGTGCAGAGGAACTCTTCAAGTCCCTCCTCGCCACGCTCCGCTAGTCTGGGGACCAAGGCCGGGCAGCCCATTCTCCAAAGCCAACACCCAGCCACGCGGCGCCCCCGGCCGGCGGACAGCTGTCAAGGGGACTCACCTTTCCCTAGGGTCCTGGTCGCATCGTCAGACATGTTCTCCCAGTGCCTGCGCAGTGTCCAGCGCTCACAGAGGCTGCCGTGTGGCTTGCTGCAGCTGCCGCAGGGTGCAAGGACAGCTGAGCTCCGGTGCGCCCCTCTTCCCCCAAATTCAACTTTGGAGCAACAGAGCCCTGGCAGGGCAGAGGGAAAGGGATCCAGGATGGCAGGTGGGGTAATTCCACCTGCAGAGACATCGCCACAGATTCAGAAGCCAGAGAAGTAGGAGTAGGAAAGAAAAGAAAAGAAAGACAAAATTTGAAAAGTACCCCTGGCTTTGAACGCGGGGGCACAACATTCAGTGCAGTCTCTTCTCCACATCAAGAACTGGTGAAGAATGGGCATTCAAACTCCATGTAGTTCAAGGGAGTTTAACAAAAATTGACCAGGGTAACAGTAACATTTTCTTTCCCATTCTATGCCATCCCTCTTGCATATCATGTCCTCTATATGAGTAATTTTTTTAAAATAAGGCCAAACTTTTTCATGCTCTAGCAGATAAGAAGAAAACATTTATTAGTGTTGAGATCTTACACAACTCTTGAAACGAGTGTCTCAGATTTTGTGGCCTCACTTGCCTCACACTAATTCTGGCCCTATTTATGAGATTTTACCCAAGTGATGAAAAATTGGTAATGAACAGAAACAAGATACCTAAAAGCAAAACCAAATTTGTGAGTTCTCTCCAACCTTCAATATACATTTCAGAGAAGACCCTTTTTAATTACTAAGGACCCACTGCCAACAGGCCAGCAATCCAGCGTCCATTTGGATAATAGCTCTTTCATCTACATGAGGTAAAGGAGGTAGCTAGCCTTTGCTTTGACTCTAAGAAGCTGAGATCTTGAAATTTAGCAGGTGGAAAAATAATTCCTTTAATTTTTACAGGACAGAGCTGAAATGGGAATTGCTTGTAAATGCATTTTATGGGGTTGACAGGTAAAGAAGGAAAAAAAGTATTACATGTTTCACTCACAGTGACTAAATGATTTCCATGGATTCTCTTATTCGATTCCCACAACTACTCAGTTAGTTATTACCATTCCTGTTTTACAAGATAGAGCATAACCTCAGAAAAACAAAATTACTTGCCCAAAGTGACCAGCTAGAAGAATTAAAGAACTTTAAAAGTTTCAAAGCCTGACTCATTGTCTTGGCCTCTACAGCTGGTAACAGTGTGGAAAGGACATAAATCCCAGAAAAGATATAGCACATAATAGCTGCTCAACAACGGTCTGCTGAATCTAAATATCTTTTATTAAAATGAGAACCTAATCATGGAGCTTATGAATGGGCACCTTTTGGCCTTTGGAATTCCAACCTATCCAGGAATTCTTAGTTAACAGTATTAACTTTTTTTTTTTTCTGAATAAGAATTTTTGAAAATTTTCAGAACAGTGACTCAACTACACTCTTTGTTAAGTCATTTAGAGTGATTTCATGTGAGCTGTGACAAGTCACCATTGTTTTACAAGAATTGGGGAATGGAAGAATATTTGAATAAATGTTCTCGCAACAGAAAATGCATATATGTCAGCAAGAATTGGTATTGGAAAAGGCAAATTGGTTCTTGACTTGCCTTTTTGACAGTTTTGCATTTGGAAGACAGAGAAAGGAAGAGGACAACTACTATTCTGGAGTTAATTTTGATCAAAAAGGACAAACTGGATGGTAAAATGGAAACAACATAACCATGTCATGTGGGAGCTACTGGTAGACAAGGAGCTGACTCCTGATGAGACAAATGTAACACTCACATAAAGAAAGTACATTTCAAATAGTTGAGAGAAAACATACATAGATTCTAAAAGGGAAAGCCATATGTGGAATGTGAAATTCTCAAAAATCAAAATAAATTATTACTAACATGTATCTGGTGCTTTATGTGTATTAACTCAATTAATCCTTAAAATAGTCCTATAAGGGTTCTATTCTCATCTCATTTTAAAAGATGAGTAAAGTGAGGCTAGCAAGGTTAAGTTACTAGTCCAAAGCTTCACAACTAGTAAGAGGTGGAAGGAGGATTATGGAACCTGGAAGTCTGACTCCAGGGAAAGTACTCTAATCAGGATCTTAGTCTATACCAGAGGTAGGCAAACTTTTTCTGTAAAGATCAAAACAGTAAATGTTTCAGGCTTTTCAAGCCATCTTGTCTCAACTATTCAACTCTACCCTTATAGGGAGAAAACAGCCATATATAAATAAATGGGTGTGGCTGTGTTCCAATAAAACATTATTTATGAGTACTGAACTTGAATTCCATATATATTTTTAACTTTATTTTTTAGAACAGTTTTAGATTCACAGCAAAATTGAGCAGAATATATAACCTCCTACCCTCACACATGCACAGCCTACCTCACCATCAACACCCTGCACTAGAGTGGGACATTTCTTACAACTGATGAACCTACATTGACACATCATTATCACTCAAAGCCCATAATTTACATTATAGTTCGCTCTTGGTGAGTTTCACAAAATTTTCACATGTCACAAATTCTAATTCTTCACTTGATTTTCTCCCAATCATTCTTAGCTCTTGAACTGTATAAAAACAAGCAGTGGGCTGGAGTTGGCACACTGGCCTTAGTTTGCCCATCCCTGGTATACATTGACCATGACTGAATTAGCAACGGCCAAACTGAGAAATTCACTTGTAAAGTACAAGGGTCCTGGATCCACATTTCTACTATGCCAGAAGGGAACATATTTTCATGTGTCTCCTCATTCCCACCTTTTAAAGGAAACCAACTCTGAGAGTTGGAAAATATTGTTTATTTAAATATTGTTTATTGTTATATTGTTAAAAGTACAGTTGACCCTTGAACAATTAGGGGGTTCAGGGAGCTGATCCACCACACAAAAATCCAAGTATAACTTTACAGTCAGCCCTCCGTATCCAGGTTTCTGAACCTGCAGATTCGACCAACTGTGGATCATGTAGTACTATGGTACATATTTAGTGAAAAAATAATCCCCATATAAGTGGACACTTGCAGTTCAAACACATGCCCTTCAAGGGTCAACTGTATACCTGTATATGGGAAGTCACATTCTGAAATGCAAGTCTACCCGGTATAGTCATGGGAGAATGGACAAAGGGATGGAAACAGTTTTTCCTCTGAAGGGAAACAATATAATGTCAAGGTTCTCACTTGGCACTATATTCAAACCCTAGTGTTGGCACTTAGGCAAGCTATCCAACCTCTTTGACCTTCATCTTCCTCACTTGTAAAATGAGAACACTAATAGTACCTACTTGATGGGTTTTGAGTACTGAATGAAATTGTGCAGGTGGTCATCCTCAGTAGAGTAAAAGCTCAGTGTACTTCAAAATTAATGACTAATACTGGTGAACAAGAACATAATTTTAATAGCATAGTGCATTCTGATCTTGTATCCATCCATACAGATAAAATACACTGCAACTCAGCATTGTCAAGCACATCAGAATTAAAATTCAACCCAGAATACTTATTTCACCAGTTACCAGTTTAATGCCAATTGAATGGGTTGAATGCCACAGGCGACATTTCAGTAATGTGGTTTTTAATCTTACCACTGAACACTATTGCTTCCCTAGAAAGATTTTAATTATGACCTTTAAGTTTAACCCTATTTGCTGTTTAAAACCCAGTAAGTACCTCTTTGAAAGCCTCTTTGCAAATTTTCCTTGTATGTTGTTATTTCATGTTTACACCTTTATTATACTGATTCACTCAAGCAAGAAATGAATGGTAACAAGGCTATATTAAACCTACTCCAAATTGGCTTCCAGCTACCTGAAATATAATCAGATCTATTTTGACAATGTGGGGCTCTTAGTCATGGGTGATAATGACTTAAGCCTTCTAGGAAAAGAATGCCACCACAGAAATAATCTCTTCACTCTATTTATATGAGTCTCTCTTTGGGGAAGAGGAGAGAAAGTGGGGTTTGAATTTTGCAATTTTTCAAAAGTTTTTTAAATCATACCAATCACTGCTATTGGCTGAACCTGGAGGACATTCCTCTTAATACTTCAGAAGCCTGATTTACATGATCATGTTACTGGGTGTTCCAGTGTTGTTCACCAAGTTCAAAGATTTAGACAGGTGAGGGAAAAGGTTCTTTTTCAAATGGACCTACGTTTAAAACTTTTTTCCACTAAGTTAGAATCATAGAGAATCTTGTGTTCTAATGTCTCTGGGACATTAAATAAGATTACTAAGTTGTCAGAGGAGGAACTTCATCTTTCCACTTGGGAAAGCAGGGTCAAAGGAGATTTTCTTTCTAAGTATTTAATTCTGCTTCCCTATCCCTACTTTACAGCTTTTCCTATCCCTCTTTTACAGCTATTTTACAGAAGGATTCAAAGAAAAAATATTTCAACAGGTTTATATAATAACATTTGAATATGCAAAGGCAGACTTTCAAGATCCTAAAATAAGCCAAAGCCAAACACTTGTAAAATCAAACAAAACACTTGTGTTTCAAAAAGGAACAGCAACACTTCCTGTGGCACCCCAGGCATAATAGTTGTGTGTTAAAAAGGGGCACACAGTCTACTCCTGGCTCAACCTCTAAATCCTAAGAGCTGATGAATTAAGAGATTGGGGCAGAGGTATATGTACTCTTATCTCAAGAACTGTCTGAATGACTGTAAGAATGCAGGCTGGATCTGAATTTCTTCTCCAGCATCTAGCTGGGAAGACCTTGGACAAACCACAATTTTCTATGCCCTGGTGTTCTCATCTATAATGTGGAGCTAATGGTACCAACACAGCATGTGGTCTGGGGAGAATTAATTCAGATACTGGATAAGAAGCATTTAATAATCAGAATCTATTACTCAGTAAGCATTCAACATTACTTATTATTGTTATTATTTGAAAATAGCAGGGAAGACCCACAGTTCCGACAAAACAGAACATTCCTGGGGACCAAATGCCCTACCTGCCAGTGCCTATAAATGTAGCTAAACTAGTGGTGCTCAATGCAGGGCTGACAGTTAATGATCTGGGGTCATCTTCACTTGTTTCCAGTCAAATCAGAAAATGGGAACAATTTAATGACTTCTTTTTTTCCCTTTCAGTTAAAGGCATTCGTTTTAAAGACTTGTTCCTTATTCTTATAGTCCTTGTGCTGTTTTTTTTTCTTAATGTTAAAAATCTTTGATGAAACTCTGATGAAGATAGTTGGGCTTTCTCACGAGTTTTAGGCAAAATTAAAAGTTGGCAATCCTATTCTGGGCCCCCAAATTCGTCAAAAAAAATCCCCCAATTTAGAATTGACCGCAACCTCCTCTTCCCTTCGAATGCTACCCAGGCCGCAGCGACCCACCCGGTGCAGGTGAGAAGTGAGACGCCCCCGAGGAACTTCCAGGTGCGTGGCAGACGGAACCGGATGTGGAGCGGAGAGAGTGGCAGAGGGGGCGGCAGAAGAAGGCGGGGCCCAGGCGGAACCCGCCCCTCAGATAGCGACCCTATCCGCCAATTGGCCGCGGCGCCCAGAGCTTCAGCCAATCCTCGAAATCTTAGAAGCTCTCTGGCTAAGCCGTGCCGAGCTGAGCCAACCGGCGGCCGCCTTACAGGCTCCTGGGTACCGGAGTCGGGTGCCCACGGGTGTCTGTGGCTGGCCAAAGTGGAAGACAGGTAGTGGGTGGCCGTCGCACTTCAGCTCCCGGGTCTACATCCGACCGAAGTCCGCCTGCAGTCGACCCGGGCCTGTTGGGTGGGGCAGGCGGACGGGGGCAGAGATGGGTCCGCCCGGAGCCTGGGCATTGGTGGCTGCCGGGGGTAGACGGCGGGAGGCCGTTTGTGAAGTCAGCCGGTTTTGAGCTGCCTTTCAGGGCGCGGCCCCCAGGGCGCCTGCATCACCGTGGGGCGGGGGGCTCGTTTGAAATATGGACCCGCCGGCCCACCTGGACCTACCGAATCGGAAAAACAGGGGTGAGCCTTAGGTGATTGTTATGCGCCCTTAAATTTAAAAGTATCGGAAACTAGATTGTGTGGGGGCGGTCGACAGCCCCTAGTTCTGATATAAGAGCCAGGTGCTGGGTGTGCTCTCCAAATCTACCAACACCTTAAGGCCTCTTAACCTAGGGACCTTAGTTGATTTGTCTGTAGGATGATGCCCTCTGACCTACCTTTTCACGGAGAGGTGATATGATGATAAAAAGTAAATAGTGCGACGCCTAAAGGGCTATGGAAGTGATTAGAAGATGACATTAATATTTCTGAATTACTCATCCAGCCTTATATACTTACTCGATGGATGAGGTCTTTAACAGTATTTAATTACATATATGGGACACCTACTGTGTGCCCATCACAGGACTTGGTAGGAAGGATCTGAAGGGGTTAAATGACTGGAGGCCAGGAAAACAAATAGGAGGACACCTAGTCACCGGGCTTTAAGGTGATGTGGGTCTGGTCTTCAGTGGCAACAACAACGGGAACGAGAAAGGTAATGATGATACAAAGGAAAGAATGAGGAAAGTTTCTCATTGAAAGTTTCAACTCAACTTTCAAGACAAACTGAAAGGGCCATCTCTTGAAACACTGTATCCAAGTACAAATGTCTTACGAGCAGTTAGAAATCCAGACTGAAGTCCCACTCTCACTAGAGACGATTTAGAGGTTTTCAGCATGCACTATGATAGAACCCACAGTCATTTGAGTATCCTGAGACAGGAAACGTGTTTACATTTCTGCAGGAGGGCCTTGAGCAAAGCTCACAGGCCATGGTGTCAAATCAGAGAAGGTGATCCAATGAGACGCGAGAGCATTTGGTAAAATAAAAGCATGTTATTATTCAGCATGTTATTATTCATATTAGTGAAGGAAAATATATCTCCTTTTCTGACTCCTGTCCCCATCAGAGCCCACAGTCACAGGCCTCAGGGCTGTCCTGCAAGTAAAGGCGGAAAAATTGTTGATGGGTGCTCGGTTCAATGTAAAGTGATGCTACTGCGGGATCTTTCATCATGGCTGCCATCCAGAGCTTAAGATTTGCAGTGTGGTCAATACACCTGTGGGAGATGGAAAGAATGAAGGTGTGAGCGAGGCTAAATAGGAAGGCACTGCAACGTCTCCTATGCCTTATCATTTCCGCTCTGCAGTTTCATTTTGTTTCCCTCTAACCTTTTATAATATTTCTTTTAAAATACTTATTTAAAATGCACATAATCATCAAACATGAGATTTGGAAGATACTGTAGAGGTTTTTTGTCTGTGGAAGAGGAATCTTGAGTGAAGTGACTTGCTCAGTTAGCATGAGAACTTGTCCAAAATGAGAGACTGATAACTTCTAAAAATGAGAACATGAAAGACTATGGAAAATGTTATATATTTATTATTCTATGGTCAGATTGTGACTAAACATAACCCTGAGTAGCTCTAAGCTCTAAGAAGTTGGAATAAGCCAAGGTGGCTGCTGAACTTCAAAACATGGAGTTTGGAAAATAGTGTGGGACTCTTGCTGGTGAATGGGAGGCAGCATTGGTCATACAATCCTGCTTGTTATATTGTTAAGGGTTTTTAACGGGGAGGGAAGGAGTATATTACTCTTAAAACATTACATATCACAGAACTCCTCAGCCCTAGGGATGGGGAAGAGTGCTGAGTAGGTATATGACCTGCCCTGGTAAGTCCAAGACTCCTCTTGTCTGCTTGTTCCTATTCATGCCAGCTGTATGAAACATTTTAATTTTTCTTCAGAAAAAAAGGTTAATATATACTGTTCCAGTTATCATTATCCCAAATTATGCACAAAATATTCAGATGTCTTACTCATTTAACTCCATGGCTTCCAGCCGTTCAAACCAGGGCCAGATGAGGTAATCAATCATAGAAGGAGAATTACCACCAAAGAATGTTGTCTCCTTATTGGCCAGGACCTGAACATTAAAGAGGATAAGAGTACTTCTTACTTGTGCATTTGATAAGATTCATCATCAGAAACGATGAAGGCAAGTTAAGTTAAGCAAGTGAGATTAGCAGCTTTTACCCTGACATATCCAAGGTGGCTTTTTTCTCTGATCAGTTTAAGCTTTAGAATCTCTTGTTTTGGGATGAAGCAAAACAATCAACAAAATAAACAGAAAATGAAGAAAAATAAAACAAGCTACGGCATAAAAGATCTTTGTAATACATGTATCCAACAAAGGACTGGTATTCAGAATATAGAAAGAACTTCTGGGACTCTGTAAGAAAAAGGCAAACAACCCATCAGAAAATTGGACAAGACTTGGCCTTCACAAAAGAGGAAATCCAAATAGCCAATAACCAATTGAAAATGTGCTCAACTTCATTAGTCATCAGGGAAATGCACACTAGAACCAATATGTCATACCACTTCACATCCATGAGATTGGCTAAAATAAACAAGACAAAGTAAGGGTGTGGAACCACTGCTGACAGGAATGTAAATTGGTACAACCATGCTTTAAGAGTGTCTACTAAAGCTGAGTGCATGCATAGTCTATAACCCAGTAATTCTCCTCCTTGGAAATGTGAACATATATTCACCAAAAGATAGGTAGAAGAATGTTCGTTGCAGCACTATTTTGTAATAGCCCGAAAGTGGAAATGTTTACTGTCCATCAGGAGTAAAATGGATAAACTGTGCAACAGTCACGTGTTAGAAAACTATCGAAAGAACAGGAATGAACTACACACAACATAGATGAACCTCACAAACCTAATACTGAATGAAAGAAGCCAGACCCAAAAGAGTGCACATTACATGATTCTCCTTGTATGAAGTACAGAAATCAGCCAAAACTAATATTCTGTTTCTTGAAACGGATGCTAGTTTTATGGCTGTGTTCACTGTCAATTCTTCAGGCTGTACACTTCTGCTTTGGTTACTTCTCTTCATATAATACTTTAATTAAAAATTTAGTTCAAATATACTGGAAATAATTGGATTAACTATTAAACAGATGCCAAATGAAATTCTTTGAAAACCAAGCACAAATAGTATATTTCTGAAATTTAAGAAGGTGAATTGGTAATTATGGTTTTGCAAGAAGGAGAACTGAGAATATTATGTGGCTAATGAACACCAAACCATTTTACCCTTTATAAAACGTCCAAGGTTTTTCTCAGATCTCTCATAACAGTCTGCATGTAGGTAGACTAGTTATATTTACCTGAGTATTTGGTTTTGGTCCTCTACCAAACTTACCATCTGAACAGAATGGACCACGTCTCACTTTCTACCTCCCATATCATCCAGCAGAGTGCATTGCAATTATTAGGCACTCAGACTTGTACAATGAACTGATATTATTTGGGTCTATCCTTAAACTAGTGCCTGGTAATTATATTATGCATAAATAAAATTAAGCATGGAAGGTTCAGTCAGAATGAAATACCCTCTTAGCAGCCTGAAACATGGAAGTGGTACTACTCACTTTAAAGCATGACTTAACCTGGACTCTCTGAACTTGGGAAAAAAATTATATGCCCCCACCTAACCCCCAATTTAACAAGTAGTATGCATATTTTCTACTGCTCTGGGGATCGACACCCCTAACCTCCACCTTGCTCAAGAGTCAAATGTAGTTGTATATAGAGATTTTTTTTTTAATTGGGTAAGATGATCATCTTCATGTCCGTATATATGAAAACTTAGATGAAATAGGTAATTGTCAAGAAAAATATAAATTACCAAAACTGATTCAAGAAGGAATATAAAATCCTCCACATTAATTAGCATTAAGGAAATTGAACTACTAATGAAAAAAAAAACTATAAAAGTCAGCAGACTCAAATGTTTTACAGAAGCAGCCAAACCCTGTCAAATGGTTTCAGAGCTTAGAGATCCAGACAGTTACCCAATTTATTTTATGAAGTAGAATGTCCTTGATATAAAAAGCAAATAAAGCCACTATAAGAATAAAATAATCTACTTTAAGAATAAGCAAAAATCCTTTAAATATTAACTAAGTCTAGAGTATATATGAATATCAATTGAAAACAAGCAGGTTTTATTCCAGTAATGGTTCAACACCAGAAAAAAATCTCTCAATGACACTATACTCACTAGATTAAAGGGGAAAAAATTCTACAAATATTTCAATAGATGAAACAGATGCAGACAAAATATTTAATAAAATGGCACACTCATTTATGACTTTTAAAAAATTAGCAAACTAGTTACAGAACTTTATAAATTAAAAAATTATTTTTCTGAAAAAAAATCTACAGCAAACTTAGTAGTACTTACTGATAAAATGTTAGGATGCATTCCCGTAATTATGTAATAAACATTTTAACATAACTGTATTTATATAAGTTTACTATATATTAAATGCAAAAAATACAGAATGATTTATGTTCTGATTACAGTTGTTAATTTTTTAAAATATATGATCAAGGATTGAAAACAAGCACGGAAAAATGGAAATGGGTGACAAACTGAAAATGGCGGTGAAATTTTTCCTTGATATTTTAATGTCAGTGTTTCAAAATGTTTGAAAAGCAAGCCCATGACAAAGTATTTTTAGGTGTTTTGGTTTATATCTTAAATGCAACAGCTTACAGCTATCTGTTGCAAACTAAAATTTCCTATCTGATATTATTACAAAGTGATTTTGGAGATGGGAATAGGAGGAAACCAGTAGAAGATGAGGGTGGATACAGTGTATGACTGAAGAAAGGATCGATTACCTCGTCTAGCTTGCTGAATTCTTTACGCAGTTCTTCTAAGCCAGAGATGTTTTCCTTCTTTTGCCATCTAATAGAGTCTTTTACCAAAGGTGGTACCTAGAGAGACAATAATTTCTTAGCTTATCAGTGTGAGGCTAACTGTACCAGCCCACTCTTATAAAAGCACAATAGAACCCTTGTGGTCCCAGTGTCAGGATGTTCTAGAATCCTCAAAGGTGCACCAATGCCTGTGCTCACGGAGGTCGGGTACTTAGAAACAGTTCTGTGGCCTAAGATTGCTGTATTGGTCAGGATTTTATAAATTTCAACTAAAAGAACCCCTTTTGAGTTTGGTGAGTCTGAGTCAAAAATGTCCTAAAAGGACACTGAGAGGCTCATAGAATTGTTCAGAGTCTGAACAAAGAGGCTTGGAACTCAGCTGGAATATTCCAAAATCATGCTCAGAACTGACCTGACGGAAAGCACCCACTGCCACCAGTGAGCCGAGGGCTAGATGCTACAGCTTGTGCCACTGCCAGAGTTGGACTCTGAGGTAACCAGTGCCACTCTGGAATTTAATCTTGCAACCACTCTGGCTCCTGAAAGCCAGGAGATCTACCGCCAGCCACTTTCACGAGCAGAACCAGTGCCCCACACCAAACCTGTTTCCCCACATTGCTCAGGTCTGAATTGAACTCTAACATGTATGTGTCTGAGAGGAAAAACCTAGGTCCCAGGCCTTGGCCCCAGCTGCAAAGGGAGCTGGGGAAGAGGACTTTCCTGATTTCTACGTTGGGGAGGGCATGAGAAGACAGTTCAAAGTGGCTAACTACCTGAAGACTTGTCACGTGTAGTGTCAGATGCTTTAATGCTTCTGGAGGAGGTGTTGGTGTGTTTTACTAAACTTTGGTCTTTGATATTGTCTCACTGCAAGAGACAGAAGTCCCCTCATCCCCAGTAAGTAAACATGCCCTTGCGTACAAGGGAATGTCCTGAAACCCCGTGCGTGTGGGTACAGCTTGCCTTCATTAGAATTGAAGGTGTGCAGGCAGTCCTTCCTTCCACATTTCCATCTGCGCCTGCCTGGTCTTTCATCTCTGCTTCTCCTTAAATGTCTGCTCCATATTATTTTCCATGTATCAGTCCCCTCTGCAATGACCTTAATTTCCTTGCAATGCTTATGTGGCTTTGGTTTGTCGTGTCTCTAGTGATATACACATGCAGCCCCAAAGCCTCAACACATTTACTGTCTTAGTCTATCTCACTTCCAAGTGCCCAGGAGAGATGAAGATTGGGCAGAAAGTGTGGGTGGGGACGTTGGTTTGCTGGGCTGTGGCCAGGAGGGCAGGGTCATATGGTACGTAAGGGCACCTCTTCCCTTAATGTGAACAGGCAAGTTATCTGGGCAGCTCCAGCTTTCAGCTCATTTCCTTTCTACACAGTACAATGAATCTCAGTTGTTTTTTTTTTTAATTCTCAAACACACTTGTTGGAAATCCTATTCCCTGTCCATCATCTTTGACAGCTGCTGTCTCTACCATTTTTTCATTCTCATTCTGCTCAGCTAGACAACGCCCTCTTCCTTTCCAATTGGTTTCCCCTTGCCTTAAGGGCAAAATTTAGCCTTAAGATCATGTCTCCTTAATCAAAATGTTCTCCCCACAAATCTCATTTTCCAGTTATTTTTTTCAGCATTTCTTTCTCTAGAGATAAGATCTTTCATTATATGCTTATGTATATCCTGACAAGGTAACAGGATTACAGAGACACAACCTGACATTGCTAATTGTCTATTGTTGGTCATTTCTTTGTTAATACTAATTGTTTGAACTAATCTGCAAAATTGGTGGTATTAAAACAGAGACAGTTCTTCCACAAGAATACCCTTTACTCAGTCTGCAAGTAGCTACTGCCAACACACTGGAGATGCTCACAGCTAGACAGGGTGGCTAGAAAAACAAGAGCTAACACCGAGTATTTACCATGTGTTGGACTCTGCTGTTTGGTGTTTTATATTAACCAATCTTTGTCTATGGAGAAGGAATAATATACTCATTTTACAAATGATGAACTGAAACCAGAAGTAAAGTAGTAAGCAACTTGCTCTGACTCACAGTTAGGAAGTGGCAGAGCTGGTCACAAGCCTAGGCAGTGAGCCGACACTGATGGAAACACAGCCCTCACCCTAAAGGAGCTGGAAGTCCTGGTACAACACAAAAGCAAGAAGATGGGCAGTCGCCACAGGGGGAGGCTAGCACATGTGGGAACACGGAGCTGGGCATTAACCCAGCCTGGACAAGCTTCTGGAAGACAGCAGTATCTGGGCAGAGGTAGTTGTCCCTCAGTTCCTCAGGGGGTTGATTCCAGGACTCCCAGCAGATACCAAAATCCACTGATACTCAAGTCCTTTATATAAAATGACCCAGTGTAGTGGGTTTCAGTATCTGAGGGTTCTCCACATACCGGAGCACACACACTGTATATGAAAAAGGATTTGGAGATAACTAGGCAAATAGAGAAGAGGGAACAGTCTTCCAGCAAGAGTTGAGAAGAAGGTGGCAAGTTTGGGAAAACTGACAACATTCAGCATGGCAGGAATATAAAGTGTCAGGAGAAGAGTGAAGAAGAGGTGTAACTCGAGACATAAACAGGATCTGGACCATGAAAGGTCTTGCAGGACATGTCAGAGCTGACAAAGAGTATAATCCTGTTTGTTTTCCACTCCCAAATCACTGGACCATAAGTGACAGCGCTGATTTAGCTTAAAAAACAAAGTTGCTTTAAACAGAAGCGGAAATGTCTTAAACACACACCTTAGAAAACAACTCAAAGACCATCTTTTGGCAAGCTTTCTCATAGGGGTCATCTGGAAACAGCTTCTTCTCCGGATATGCTTCATCCAGGTACTCGCAGGTGATGGCAGATTCGCAGATCACTTGACCCCGACTGTTTTCCAGAACTGGCACCAGACCGAGGGGATTCTTCTTGAAGAACCACTCAGGCTTATTTTTCAGGTTGATATTGATGACTTCATGCCTGAAAGACACATAGAAGACAGTGAAGAGAGTAACTCTTTTTTTTTTTTTTTTGTATGTCTGAATAAAGTCTCATGGGTCCTGTCATCCACTTAGCTGATCAGACCTCAAATTTAGGAGTCAACCGGGCCTTGATTTTTTTCCCCCACCCTCTCTTCTAGAAATCAAATGGATCAGCAAGACCTGTCTGCTAGACCTCCAAATCACATTCTGGCTTTATTCACTTTTCAGGTTTAATTCTACCACCTTGTCTAAGACATTATTAGCCACCTGGACCTCTACAATAGTCCCCTGCTGGCCCCTCGGCTTCCACTGTGGCCTCCCTATAGTCCATTCTCCACACATAAGAAAAAATTGGATCAGACCACCCTCCTGCTTGCTTACAACCCCTCTATTGTTGTTCATTGCAATGAGGATAAGCTCTAAACCCCTTTCCAGCCATTTGATCAGGACCCTGCTTACCTGTTACACCTGTTACTGTGACTTTCCCCCTGGTCATTATGATCTGGCCACACTGGCCTTTTTTATACACTTTGAATTCCTTCTTCATTGAACTGATGATAAGTATCTGAAATTACCTGGCTCACTTAATTACATGTTTATTATGTCACCTCCCTTAGAATGTAAGCTTCATGAAAGCAGGGGTATTGTGTGCCTTGTTCATATTCAAAAACAAACATGTAAATGAGCAAAATTTTTTAAAAATTTAAATGCTGTGAAGAAATATAAATAATTTCAGATAGGTATGCAGTACATATTTGTTGAATAAATGAGTGGAAATGCTTCAAGATTATCAGTAAGATATTCCACTTGGGGCTAAGGGGTGTCTTAATTGTATATTATATGAGGCAATAATTGAATTGTGTTCACACCCCACTTTATGGGAATCACGTTGATAAAGTTCAATTCCTCTTGTTAATTTTAATAGAAAGTTCCTCCCTTTTTACAAGAATATTAGGAAATCCAAAAAATCAATCCACAAAATAATCTTTCAGATTAAATCTCTATGCACTGATTTTTTTTTTTTAAATGCTACATGGATGAGTCACACTAAGTAAACCCCTAGAAAAGAAAGCAGGTGAAGTCCAGGCTATGTTAAGAATGTTTTTAGATCTAACTTGCATCTTGCCTGAGAGATTTTAGGGGAAATAAGAAAAAGGAAAGTTTCACATAATTGTTAAAGCCAGGTCCGTATCATCGTCAAAGCTGGATAAGTGTTGAATAGAACAGATTAATTACTCTTTGTTTCTTATTTCCCCATCCACTTCAGTAGCTAGAATAGCATTTAGCTTGTGGATTTAAATATGTAACCCCCTCCTGGAACAAAGGAATAGCAAAGTGAACATTGGTGTCTGTGTATAGAAAGTTTCATGTACTGACAGATTACTGGACACTCCGATACAAGCCACTGCAAGAAAAATGAGTCTCCTTGCCAAGGAATTATCAACATTTCTGAAATTTTATACTATGAAAAGAAAAGGTAAATCCTTGGTGTCTGTAATAAAGAGGTTTCTCATAACACTTAAATTTTGGTAACCTGACATGGTGAGCCAACAAATATACCTTGCCACAAGTTGGAAGATGTTCTTTTTACACAAAATCATGCTTCCTTATATTCTGTCATATGGTAAAATCAAATACCTCTCTAGTCAAAGTCTCCTGGGACTCCAACTTACAACTAATCCATGAACATAGTAGACCTCTGTTGTTTGCACAGCTGTTACCACTCTTCGCCCACTATACACACACTTGTATGGTACAATCACTCAATTTTCCTTTGGAAAACTGTCCCAGTAAGTAAGATAGGATTGTTTTCAGCACAGAGTTCCAGAGCGGCACTAACCCAGGACTTTGTGCCCCCAAATCTAGCTGTGTCTTGATTCTGGATTTTTCAATCACATGAGCAAAAGATGTATCTTTTTCCAATCCAATTGAATTGGATTTCCCTTAAATTCAATAAATGAATTCTGACTAACACAGTCTATATTACAGTATTTGAAAAAAATTATGTTTTGGATAAATGTTACTAAATGTTGATTATTTTGTTATGTGTTCAGACCAGTTTCACCCAAAAGAAGATGCAAAGCTTACTAAAGTGATGGCTAATCCAAAAATAGTTTTTTTTTCTTTAGAATATATCTTACTTTTCTTTATGGGAAAATGAATTATCTGCCTAATTCTCCCCCTAGAAGACTAAAATTCTTTTATAAACTCTAAGCACATAGATGAAAAATTTCAGACTGAGGGCTATGTTTTAAACTTCCACACTGCAGTTATCTAATGTCTATTCAACAGATTCCAACGGTCCTTGACAGTAGGCAGTTCCAGTGGCTCAGAGAAAAGCCAAATGACTTGCATATTTCCTGTGGATCATCCATACATCAAAATTCATACTAGTTTTAATGAGGCTTCCCAAAACACCGAATGTTTAGGTGTAGACAATGTGACTCAAGCAACAACTCAAGCAATAGGAATATTCACAGCAGTTAATTCAGCACTCTGCCTTGAGGGTCAAATCTGGACTCTGTACAGGGGTGAATTATCAACTACTCAGGAAAAGGCCATATACTTAGAATAACAGCAAAAGGTATTAGATACGCCAGACATGAATGGAGAAGTGGGGTGAAAGCAAAAGAACAGGGCACCTGCAGCAGAGATCTACCAAGTTAAAAGAGCCTTGGCCTGCGAATACCAACCAAGTGTTCTCAGTGTATCATTTACTTTACTAGAGCCCCAGCATTTCTAACGCACAAATCGTTAGGCTAATCTAAATGAGGTGTCCTAGACATGTGGAGTCTGTGCCATTCCCCCCGCCCCAACCCGGGGGAAGGGTTCGAAACTTTCTATCCCCCCTACCGCCCCCCACCTGAACAAAAATACGGCAGAAAATAGTTTATTTCCGCAGTAAAGGATTTGCGGGGACCCTGCAGGAGATTCCCACCCGTGCCGCCCGCAGCTGCAGCTCGTTCCCGGCCGGGTGGGGAGCTGCCCCCGCCTTGGTCCTCACCGAATTCCCTTGGCCTTCAGGACCAGGAGTGTCCTCTGGGCAAAAGGGCAGAATCTCATACTGTAGATGCGGATCAGGCCCACGGGGACCGGCCCTGGGGGCGCGCTTCCTGCCGAGGAGAAGAGGAGGTGGTCACAGACCAGATAGCGGCGGGGACCCAGAGACTCCTGCCGCCCCGCGGCGGGGCGCGGCGAGGTCTCGCGCTCGGCGGCCCTGGCCTGTTCCCCGGGGTGGGGGCCTTCCTTTGCGGCTAAGCTCCGGAGCAGCAGCACCTGGACATGTGGCCGTAGGGTCGCCCAGATCCCCCCACCCTCGGATCGCGGCGGGCAGGTCTTACCCTTCCCCAGGCTCCTGGCTGATGGTCTAGACATCGCGGCGCAGCACAGGCCGAGCTCCCACTCCGGGTTGCTGAAGATTCAGGGAGTCGTTCGCCCCTCCCTCTCTCCCTCCTATTTATCTCAGAAATGCTAGCCCGGGGCGGCCACCGGCTTGGCGTGGTTGGGTGCCTTAGGGCCGCCGCTGCCCTGTAGCCGAAAACAAATAGGCGCACAGAACCCCCGTGGACCACCTGACCCCGCTCCCAAGGCCGGATATCCCACCCTATGCAAAAAGGAAGGCGGTGCCGTCGCCGATTGGGCGCTAGGAGAGAGATCAGGGCCAGAAGCCCAGCCCATGCACCCTGACCCAGGATCGATCTTCCTTGTTTGTTGAGGGTTAAGTCTCAAAACGCCACGGGTGGCCATTGTGCCAAAGTTCAACGTGCTGGCCAAGAGGTGAGCCAAGCTGAGATACACAAAAGAAGCTTGAAATCCCCAGAGCCTTTCCTGGACCCTGACAGATGGTGGTCTCTGGTCAGCTCTGCACAAGGGTCCATGCCTCAGCCCATCCCTGACTCTAACACTGACCCTGACGTCCCAGGCCCGATGCAAGGGCAGGAGTGAGACAGGAGCTCTCCTGCCTCAAGGTTTCCCTGACTGCAGGACCTGTGGCCCAGGGCTCAGTGCTTGTTCAGTGTTCTAGAACATGCTCTCTGAAGGTTCTTTCCCATGGCCTGCGGCCAGGTCGCTCAACCACTTGGACAGCATTTTCTTTTTCGGTCAGAACTAGCTTAATGTGATTACTGGGAGGGTCACTCTTCCTCCTGTCAATCGTAGGGTTTTAATTTTAACCTAAAGGAAACAGCACAACTCTAGATATTGTTAACCTCAAAATAATGGTCTTCTTTCAAAAACATATTAAATATGCAGAGTTTGAAGCCCTAGTAGGGGCACGGGCTCAGAGTCAGGCAGGTAGGCTGAGTGAATTTAGTCCCCAGGTATATGAAAAAAGGCTGGCCAGACTATGGGCTCCATCAGTCCGTCTTAATTAGGAAAGAGGGGGTTCCAGGGCACATAGTCCAGATACTGGAAAAAAGTAGTCAATGTTTTGTTTGCATAGATAGCCGGCTGATAGCTCCTGTGTCATTTATTGGGTGAGGAGGTGTGGTGTTTTTATTCTGACTAGCTCTATTATTGGATAGGCAGAGTAATAAGATTGTTACGGAAATGACAGGCCAGCCAAGAAACAAGCACCACTCGGAGGGTTGGAGTACTCAGATTTATTACGCCGGCAGGCTCAGAGGGGGCTTCTGCTCCGAAGCTCTGAGCACCTCCAAGACGTGTGCATGAGGTTTTATAGGGTTCATTACAAGCTTGGGGTATTTGGCCAATAGGCATGAAACAGCTTTAGCAGCATCATTATCACAAAGGTAGAGGCAGGGAGGCAGCAAACCAACATTTCAAGGCCAGATATGTCTCTTTGAAAATCCAGCGGGCTAGCAAAAAAAACATGAAGAGGGAATCAGCAAACTGACAATTATTAACTTAGATTTACGAGTTAGCCCAGCAGAACTCAGATCGGTAATGCGACACTTGTTATACTTAGATTTGTGACTTAGCTTGTTAGCCCAGCTGGGCTTTGCCTTCACAAGATAAGCACACAACAGCTCCAACAGTTCTAAGTCCTGGTAACCAGCATGTAGTTAACTTCTTCCACCCGGTCAGGGTTTAGCATTTGCAAAACAACTCAAGGATGTGACTCTGGATATTAAGTGTAGCCCTTGATGAGGAACTAAAGGTCTTTGACCTTATGGCTTAACTATCATTATTTTGTCTTGTTTGACTGTTTTTTTGTTGTTGTTTCTCATGTCTCTTCTTAAACTTGCTCTTTGGAACTGGGGGAAAGCCTAGGAGGCTAGCTTTTCTACAAACAAGAGGCAGGAGATATGGGGGAGTCTCCCTGGGAAGGCTCCACAGGGTCCTGCTTGGTTTCATGTGACTAAACCCTTTCCCACTCAGAGTTCTCTGCTTTTGCACTTTGAAACAAGACTGCTTACTGTGTTTGAATGCTGTGAGGTTTGTACTTAGTGCCCCTGCTGAAATCAGAGGTGGACACTAGGGAGTGTGGGGAAGATCTGAGTGGCAGAAGTGTTTGGATAAGGGAGAAGGCAGATTAGTGAATTTGTCCACCCCATCCTTTCAGAGAGTATTAATGTATTGCTTCTCTTATAACTAATTATCCTTTCCTAGTGGAATCAGTGAACTATTTTCTAACTTCTCTTGGGTTCCAATTTGTGGTCCCAGAGGTTCTTATGAATTAGTGTAGTATTAGCAATAGTAACACAAGAAGGCTGAGGAATGCTTTCAATAGAAAACAAATCTTATTAGCCTACATTGATTTGGGTATGTTGGTCTAGATGAAACATGATGAAGCCTGATACCAATTCTTTACTTTTTCAACTAGAATTACACTCTTTATATAAAATATTTTTAAAGATCAAAAATCAAAATTGAAATAAAATTTTTAGCTTTAAACCGTTTCGATCTGTATTTTTACTCTTTCATTCTTGTAATTTTTATTTTGACTTTTAAATTTAAGTAAAGCATTCAAAATAGTTGAGTAAATGGTTTATGGGTCTCTATTTACATTCTTGCCCTGGAATTAGGAATGGGCTTGATTTGACAGTCTCTCTCTCCACTTCAAACTAACTCCCTCAGTCTCCTTCTTTGAAGCATTATCCAAAACTGTATGTTTAGTGTCTTATTTGCTTGGATGTTGGTTACAAACCCTTTCCATGTTTAAATCTATTTAAACTTATTTCAGCATCAAGATCAAGGTAGGCAAACTTGGGACAAGAAATGAAATCATAAAGCTATTTTCCACATACATATTCAAAGTTAGAAAATAGTTTGAATTGCTTAGATTAAATGCACAACATAATAACATTCAGTCATTTTTACAATCTGGCCCAGAATCTCCATAAAAATGTGACCTCTTCCCATACTGTTTATTCTAAAACTTTCAGGAATTATGAAGGATTCCTTATTTTTTTCTTATTCCAAAAAAATGGTCCATTCAAGTTAAATGCCCAATTCAATTTAAAATTTCGGGTCTGCACATCTCCTAGAAGGAAGGATTCTTTAGATACTTAAAACTACCTAGGTTCAAATCCATTTGAAAGTTGTGAGAATTTGGCCAAAAATCTTAACTTTTCTGAGACTCAATTTCCTTGTCTATACAATAGGTTTAAAATAATCCCTAAGTGTGTAAGACCCCGGGCACAGATAGCAGCTTTCTACAAGTTAGCTCTATTATCACAGCAGAGCAGAGAGGAAATCCGTGCTGGACATACAGAGACTCCAGAGGAAGGTGGACCCAGGTCTGAATCCAAGTCTGCCACTAACTAAATATGCAGACTGCAGCCTCATACTTCCCCTCTCTGAGCCTGTTTCTTCTGTGGCATGGTTGTTGGAAGGATCAGATTTTATTAAGTTCTTGACACATAGTAGGAGCTCAATAAATTGTGATTTATTGTCACAATTATATATAAAAGGGGTCAATTACCAGAGAATAAGTAGATACTTCTAATTGCAATTGATTATTCATTTACTGTAAAACCATTAGTTATTTCCATCTTTTTACCCAGAGAAACCATGCTCACTTCTTGCTTTTTCTAACTTTTATAAACATTGCCACCTGTCACAAAAAGCAAATAATTGCCTTGTGAAGGAAAAGCCAGGCTAGGCTAACTCATAAATCTAAGTTAAGAAGCGTCGGTTTGCTGATTCCCTGCTCATGTTTTTTTTTCCTAGCCAGCTGGATTTTCTGAGAGACATATCTGGCCTTGGAATGTCAGTTTGCTGCCTCCCGGCCTCTGCTTTGTGATAATGATGCTGCTAAAGCTGTTTCATGCCTATTGGCCAAATACCCCAAGCTTGTAATGAACCCTATAAAACCTCGTGCACACATTTTGGAAGTACTCAGAGCTTCGGAGCAGCTGCCCCTCTGAACCCACCAGCATGATAAATAAATCTGAGTACTCCAACCCTCCGAGTGGTGCTTGTTTCTCGGCTGGCCTGTCATTTCCCTAACATTTCTGTAGGCCCCAGCGAGACTCAACCACGCTGGCCCCTTGAGCCACTGGACTGGTGGCTCCAGCCGACTTGGGGACGAGACTCCAATAGTGAATGAAGTGGGACTGCCCGATGGTATTCCAGGTTCTCTTTCATGAGGGCGACTCGGCACCCCCCTCCCCACCCCTGGGTGGCTGGGCTACAACCAGAGCCAGACTTGGTGGAGGGACGGACAGACTCACCTGGTGGCCGTCCGGACAAGTTAGGAACCCCTGGGGAGTAAATCAGGTCCTGTACCTAGTGGACAGAAGAGGCTGATCCCCCCCTACGGCTCCCTGTCTGACAGTATTCTGGACAGGGAGATCAGGTTAGATTAGGTTAGATTAGGGATGCCCCAGTGATAGGGAGGGGAATGTGCAAATAGCCTCTGTGTGTGTGTGTGACTGAATGTGCGGCCTGAAAAGCATGCGGTCAGGCTCGAGTTTGTAGCGTCACAGCATTCTGCTACGGAGTTCGACCTCATATAGCTCAGGGCGGTATCGACCCCTTGGGGTATCAATCTGAGTCAGCGGCTTATACTGACCTGCCAAAGCTAAGAGGCACCTTTGTACCCACGAGGGGAGTGGCCAGGCAGACGCAGCAAAAACCCTCCCTTGTCTTGTCTGCGACACTGGCACAGGGTGGCTACACTGGGAGGGAAAGGGACATAAAACAGCATATAAGTAAATGACCCCTGTGCCCTTGGGGACTAAAAGAGGCTACTTTAAAAAGTTTCAGTCGCGACTTTGTCACCAGTCCCCCGGTATATCCTGTCGCGATTAATAAACCAGCCTTAATAATACCCCTAATAAACCAGCCTTAATAATACCCCTCTGTCTAAAATAAAGCTGACAAGACCTGAGCCAGAGGGAGCTGCCCCAGGCATGGCTGGAACCCTCTTTTGAGGTCCCCTTTTGGTCCATTTATTCTGCCACCAGCCGGCCATCCTGGCCTCATATTTTGTCAATTTAGGCTATGGAGAAGGCTTTGTGCAGGGACCCCCTAGAGCTCTTCCAGGCCCAGGAGAGCCTCAGGGACACCTGCCTATCATGGAACCCTAACTCATTGGCAGCACTGACAGCCAAGCAGATAGATATTAGGCCCAGCAAGGCAGCAGGGTTTTTGAGAACTCCACTGTTTTGAG